CAATTTATAAATGTTACGTTAAGAAGATTGTTAATGGTTCTGTTTACTACCCACATACTTTGTTTTTTGAATTCAAGTCGTTGCTAAGATTATTTTTAAGATATGAATGTGTTAGCAAAGAAAATAATACTAAGCTGGAAGAATTGTTGAATGTACTTTAATCTTTAACCTATGTTATGTTTCACTTAATTATTGAGTTATTAATGTACAAATGTATTATTATTATGGAAATAAAAACCTCGCTTGAGGATAACAGAAAAAAAATCATTTTATAATCACATTAATACTTTGCGATTTGCAAGACGCAAAGCATCCGTGTTATTGTCCTGTTCAGCAATAAAATGTCCATTTTGTCATGTTTATTTATCATATAGTAGCTTGAATGAAATGAAAGGTTAAATCTGGCATACACGGAAATATACAAATACAGTCTCTTTGTCCTTCTCTCTGTCGACCTCTCTCTGTCTGTCTCTCTCTGGCTATCTCTTCCTTTCTGTCGATTTCACTAAATGCAATACGAAATCAATCCTAAGTACGATATATAAATTGAAGTATCCATTGCGTAGGTTGAGCTTTATTGTATATCTTACAATATATATTAAAAAAGTGTGGCTTGCAGTTGTCTCATCACTATACATATATTGATCATCTTTATTCAGTCATACTTTGTTTTCAAGATGAACATGAAAATCAAATTGAATTACAATATAGATGTGACACAAAACCCGAAATAAATAACATTTTACGAATGTAACATAAGCTAAACAAAGACGGAAAAAAACATGAATGTTTTAGTGATTAACTACTGCATTTCTTCTATGTATAAAAGATAATAACATACCATTATGAGATATTGCTACCAATGTTCCATATCAAATCATTACAAAAGCAATATCATCATTCCAAATAAGTTTCCTATAAAATACATATATAATAGCATAATAGCAATATTAGAGGGAACACAATATATATATATTGAGTGTAAAATTCGAAAAAAAGATATATGTATATATTGCTAAGTATATTAATATCCAGGAACCAAACGTTTGTCTGTAGTATATATAAATAGAACAAAGGAAATACATAATACTTAGGTGAGTGAAATTCATACATCCCATTATATTCAACGAATTTACTATACAATTGCAATAAAATGCCCTTTTTTTGTTTTGTTAACAATATGTATTAACAAAAAACAAAAACAAAAAAAACCCTAGATAATGTACAGTACATAATACTTTGATATTTACATTACTTCCTTGTTTTAAATTCCCTTTTTTACTGGCTGTTGTTGAAATGCAGGGCAGGCTGAGGATACAAGACTGATTCAGTCGTTTTAACAGTAGGAATATGTATGTACAACATGCTGTCATTTTCAAAAGGTAGTGCATGTATATTATGTCCCCCTTCATCTCTGTGTGTAATTGATAATTTTTTTTCCTTCATTTCACTAATATTTTTTCTCTTTATAATTATACGAGACTATAAGGTAATAATTACATGTTGTGGTAAGCCGGTCAAATGTTAATGAAATAAAAAAATCTTGGTGACGCTCCTACCCGTAGGCCCTCTCTGCGTTCTCCGAATTTAACCAACACTGGTACGTCAACATACGACGTTATAGACGTAATACAGTGACTAGGACCCCGTCTTATAAAGAATCGATATAAATAGCAAATTATTTGCGCTTGATATCAGTCGCAACTTTGTACGTAAGAGATAAAAGACTGCAAAATTACGATTGATTGGAGGACTTGTGATTAGTCGATTCATTAAATTTCATATCCTTTTTTTCAGTCCCTTTTTTTTAGTCCCACATTTAGTATCATTCAAACACATCGCTTTAATTTCAACTTCTCTCTTAAATGATCATGCTTTTATCACTAATTATTGCAAGTTACAAATATGGGTTTAAGAATGTAGCCAATGAGAAGCATCGAAATGGATCACGTGTGCATGCGGTAATTTTTACCATATGCACGGGGATTGCATTTCGGGAATAACAACCGTGAAAAAAACGTGCAACGACCCATGACGTTATGGCTACGCGGCGCTATTCGGGTATTCGCAATGGCAAAAAATGCACCAAGCACCGCATCTCCATAACCCACTCACACCTGTGTATTATTTGTTCAATATCATGTCATGTACAACTTAAACTAGTAAATAATATGAACTTGTAAGGATATAATACCATTCGGGTGTATTATATCTTGCTGTCTGAATAAGATCATTTCTTCTCACTAAACACACGCCCCTGTCCCCCGAATCTTCTTTGTTTAGCATATTCATATCGTATTCCAAATTTTAATCATCGCGGCATATATCGCATGCGTTGTAATGATTGACTTACATTCCTTTCCAACTTTTGCCTATAATTAGGACAACCTTATTCTAGTATCGAGTTTCAATGTTGTTACGAACCTGAATATTGTGAATATACATGGCACTATGGACCGACTAATCTTAAAATCAATTCAATGCAACAATCACCTTACAACGATATTACCTTCATATCCATTTCACTTTCATATTATTCGTCTAATGTTGTCATGCATATCTACACCTAACTTACCTCTATTACATTTTAAATCAACATTGTGTCCTGAGATCTATCAATACTATCTATAGGAAAAGTGTATTTTTGAATATTTTTTTTTTTTGCTAAGCTATAACGACATTTAAAATCCGAGAGAGTTATAGCGATATACGTGTAAGTTAACATGGTAAAATGGTATCAATGTGATTTAAGTATAAATTTCAAATAAGTTGATATAGACTTGAAGATAAAGTTGAGTTCTGATCATGCGATTGCATTGTGAAAGAAACGGTTTGGAATCGATCAGGAAAAGTTGATCATGTAGCATATATAGTATTAGTGTGTACTGCAAGGTTCTGGAATCACCTAAATGATAAGAATTTGTCCCGGTCTTTCTAATAGTAATAAGCACTGTACACGGAAATATGTATATGGGACTACACAACCATCTGGCATTAAAAGTTGGTTCTCATTTTTAAGCTGTAACATGTCATATTTAGAAAATGAAGGCATTTGAAGAGCCATGCTTTTCAGGGAACCACTTGCATAATAACAATAAAAACGCTCAACACATTATTTTTCACCTTTTCTATAAACTTGGCCTTCTCTTGCTATATCCTATCTATGAATCATATGCAATTATCCAAATCCTACAAAATAATGTTTCGCATACCTGACTGCTAAGAAAGCATAACTGCTTGTAAGTAAGCAACCAGACGACCGACGGCTTTAGAAGATAAGGGAAGCAATACCTGTAGGAACTGATTTAAGGTAGACTAGGTTCACTTTTCGTACGAAAGCCCCTTCTATTTTCATTGATATCTCTGAAAGTTTCGTAGGCCAGTAGAGTTGTATGTAGGTAATACAGCCATACCACGGGCTGCATGACTCGCCCTAGCATTGTCCCCACCACAGGTCCGTAGTACAGTGTCAATTCCTTCCAATCACTAACATAAACTACGGATGTCAGCCAGTCTGTTGCGTTCAAAAATATCGTATACATCAAGCAAATCCGTACGAATTTCAACTCGGCTTCGCTGATTATTTTCCTACGTTGGATGATAAGCAGAAATGAAGTCGTAGAACTGACTACGTATATCTCTGAAAGGTTGTAGATAAGGTCAAAGCATGCGAAGGATAGTACGTCTGTGGGTAGAGGATTATGGCCAAACAGGATTCCAGCAGTGGCAACTAATCGAAACACATTGGTCATAAACATTCCACTGCAACCAATCATGAGTATGACATCATGAGTTTCTACTAGTCCATGCTGGAACGAGATGTAATGCTTTAACCGAAAGGTTTCTAAATTACCGCTTAGAAATAGTTGATAGCGGTAAAGAGCGATGAATGGTAAGAAACCTATCATGTTAAAGCACCATATTATGTATGTCCTCGTTATTTTGGACAAATTAAAACTCTTACGGGATACTACAAACTTATGGAATGAAAACAAGATTGCGACTGTAATGAGCGATAAAAGAACAATATGACAGACGCCAAAGTATCTCCTCCTCCTCCTTGTAATTAGTTTCTTAAAACTTTGTAACAGATTCCGGACGTATGTGCTGATGGATGTTCTGCATGGTCGCTGAAAATGTTCGAAGTCTGCTTCATCGCTGCTGGTAACTTTTAGGCATGCTTGTGGAAGAATAGATACCCATATTTTCCATAGAATGCCTACTCCAAGCAGACCAATGTCTGTGTAAAGGGGTGATATTCTTAACGTATGGTTATACATAACTTGGGCAAATTTTCTCGGCAGTTCACAGGAATATAGAATAGGATCGTAAGAAGGTTCTTCAACAACTCCTAGAGGATACACTGAGTTAAGAACCACCAGGCCCAGACCTGAAGCTAAGGTTGCACCAATAAATGTAGGGAAGATACCGGTTTGAAGGAACACTGCATCGTAGAATGTATTGAAGAAGGCCAGACTGCAAGCTATACCAATAACCAGCAGGATATTAAACACTCCCTCGCATACCAAATTAAACTTGAGTTCCATTGGTGCATCTGAAGCATTACTATCTGTAAGACAGATGATACCAGCAATTATTTCTAATGGAAGAGTAAGTAGTGCGATAGTTCCAGACACGTTAAAAAGTATCAAAAGTGATTTATGAGGTCTTTTGTATACGGAGGACTTCAGCAAACATGTCTTCTCGACCTGCATATCTAATGTGGCGGAATATATGGACTCCATCTGTGCCAGCGGCGCTTCCAAATTTCTACTGACTGATTGCATATCACTGGATATCTCATTTACAGTTTGTGCAATTTGTTCATGATTAGACACAATTGATTCAGTTGATTCGAGAGATGTGTCACCTTTGGAACATGTTGAAGGGAGTATTGGTAGTGACCGTCGACGAGTCAAATACATTTGGGATGTCTCTTTTGGACCATCAGTACTTTGACCACGAGACTGCTGAGATATGAGGCCAATAGCCCTAGCACAATGTCGACATCGCATCGGCCAGAAAACTTGTTGACGACGATGAAGTGTCTCGCGATTCTTGATAGTCCACACGACACAAACAATGACATAGAAGGAGAGGCAACTAAAACACAATTGCATGATTGCATAGGTAAAGTTTCGGCCATCATCATCCCACCCTGTGTCAGGGATAACAGGTAATACCTTAAAGATAGAAAAACAAAAGTCAATACTTGCCAGTATAGTCACTAGCAGCATGCTGCTGTATTGCACAGTGGGAATGATTTCTGCTTTATTTGAAGCTCGATCCATTTTGAAGCATCTACGAAGAGTGGCTATTGCAAACCTCTGGAAATCAGATTTGTGACAAACAAAACTCCACATGAACATGAAATTGCTTTTAACACTGTTACGGATGTTTATACATCAGGCAATCTCAATATTTACTGGTTGCATATATTTGTAATTTAAGGTAAGATGTCTTTCGCTATCATTCATATTACTGGATAAATGACTTGCACTCATCAGAGATTACTTACAGTATCGACTTGGCCTCTTATTAACTCTCTCTCTCTCTCTCTCTCTCTCTGATCTATGTTACTTAATATATATGTTGTTTGTACAATGTTAAAGACTTGATTCTTGTATTTTTTGTCACGAATAGTATGAATGATGTATGAAATATGGGAATCTGTTCGTAATTTAGTAAATGGGAAAAATGTACTTGCAATATTGCTTAGGCAAAAGTTCATGTGATTTTACTTTCAATTTGTTTATGAGAGAACAGATTAAACTTATAGAGGTGTCGTGGTCTAGTGTATATGTCGTCAGACTGTGAAACACAGGGTTCACGGTTCGATTTCTGCCGCAGATCTTATGTTCTTTGGCAAGAAATTAATCTACATTTGCCACTCTCCATCAGGTTTTAAGTGGGTACCGGTTGGAAGGAAATCTTTGAGTTTTGTTAGCACCGAACACGATAGCCTAGAAGAGCAGGGGTAATATCAAATATTATCATTAATGTTAGTTTTATTATCAAAAAGATAATGAGGTACCGTGAAATCGAAGTACAGTATAGAATCACAGGCACGTCATGTACATGTATTTTAATCAAGTACATGTTATTTACATGACGTGCCTGCGATATAATAACTAAATGTTCATATTTTGAAGAAACTGAATAAAGATAAGTTCACCATTCTAGTTTTAGACAATTTGTTTTTTAATTAACAACATCAATGAAAGAACTTGTTTGCCCTCTGACTGAGCCTATCTTTCTTCAGTATGTACTACTAATGTTGCTGCTGCTACAACAACAACAACAACTACAACTAATACTACTACCACTTCTATTACTATTGCTGCTGCTGCTGCTACTACTACTACTACTACTACTACTACCACTACTACTATTACTATATAACTACTACTACTACTAATTATAATATTACTACTACTACTACTACTACTACTACTACTACTACTACTACTACTACCACCACCACTACTACCATTACTACTACTACTACTACTACCACCACCGTTCTACTACCATTACTGCTACTACTATTATTACTGCTGCTGCTACTACTACTTCTACCACTACCACTGCTGCTACTACTATTATTACTACTAAAGTGTGTTTGATTAATGTATAATCAATATTTCCCCCTCTTGAATGATATTAACAGATTGAAATACATGATGGGACTGAATTCATCTGGTCAGGGCTAGACTGTTATGGTAATGAGTACAGACTACAGGAGTGCTATGTACCCAACACTGGATGGGAATTGACCAGTCATTGTCAACGTATCGGTGGTGCTGAGTGTGCTCTCTCTCAAGCTCTCCTCCGTGAAAGTATATACAGAGTCTTCATTTCCTTTAATTATCTATCGAATTCTCACTATTAAACTAAACGATAACTAAATAGTACTAAACTGTTTATTGATTCGATTTGGCGTATTTTAACTGAATTGAAGTAATATTTTTCGCCATTAACATGATACGACGAAATATACTTAGAATTTACAGTTTTTCAATGTGGAAATCATCGACGCTTTTGCAGTCTCTAAAAAGTATAATTTGCCCAAACATGTATATTGTCACACTCCCCCTCCCTTTCTATCTCTCTCTCTCTCTCTCTCTGTCTTTGCCTTGCTCTTCCTATCAGTCTTGCTATCTCACTCTCATTTCCTCTTCCCATTGGTAACCATAACTTTCTGTTTCAGTATGTTTGTCCGTCTGTCTACCATAGATAGGTCCAGGCGCGAATCCAGGATTTCTTAGGGGGGGGGGGCCCAAATTTGAAATTATGCCAGCCAAATATTGGTACGTAATGGTGACCAGCAGTGACGTAATTAGGGGTGGGTGGGTGCAGGGAGGGGCGAGTTTTCCCCCTCCGCGAAGCGCGGAAGCTTTGACATTTCAATAAATTATTAGAGAAAGAAGACGGTTCGTTGTACCATTCCCCAAAATAATCCTCGTCTGAATTATGTTTCCCCCCCATCCCGCGAGAAGCGCGAAAGCTTTAACGGTCAGATTAGCATTCATGGGTCCGCCTTAGGGCACTAGGCGGGGTCCATGGGGCAGAGCCCCGGAAGTTCAGGAGTTTTATCCATTTTATTACGGTCAGATAAGCATTATTTTGATACCTTATTGTTACAGTGAAAGGTCACTAATTGGCTTGGGAATTAGGGGGCGGAGCCCCGGAATCTCAAGGGTTTTAGGCACTCAATTACGATCAGATGAGTATCAAGTGGCCCGCCTTAGGGCTCTTGGTTGGGTCCAGGGGGCAGAGCCCCCGGAAGCTCAGGGTTTTTAGGCGTTTAATTACGGTCAGATTTCTTGATTTTTGATTTCTTATTATTTGTGACACTGGCAGGACACTATTTGGCGTGGGGTCCAGGGGACAGAGCCCCCAGAAATCAAGGGTTTTGGTCATTAAATGAGCGTCAGATGAGCATCTAAGGACCCGCCTTAGGGCCCTAGGTGGAAACCAGGGGGCAGAGCCCTTGGGTTTTAGGCATTTAATCATGGTCAGATGAGCATATTTTGATACCCCATTATAATGTGACACTGGCAGTTAACTATTTTTTCTTTCTCGCTCTCTTTCTTTTTATTTTTCTTTCTCTTTAATATACTTTTTCAAAGAAAGTGTGGGGGGCTCGAGGATCCCGATCCCCGCCGTTCAGCGGGCCCTGATATGTAGGCATCTCAAGAAGCATTTTCTTGCCTGGCTGTAATTTTAGGAATTTGTCATTTTCCATCAAACGCATAAAGTGAGGAAAAATCTCGGAAAATTATCTCATTTCAGCATTATTTGTAAACCACCGTTATGGAATTAGAAATAAACCACGTTTGAATTCTATTTCTCTAAAGCCCCCCCCCCCTCTCCCTATCAGTACGCCAGTGCCCCCCCCCCCCCCCCCCTCCGATCTACACCTAGTTGGCGGGAAAATTGCAACTGATATCCCTTACCTTTCTTCATTCTCTTTTTTTCCCTTCCCTTCCTTATCTCTCTTTTTGGTTTGCTGGGGGGGGGGGGAGGGGCAAGGTCATTTTGGTCCCCACCCCGCTCCACACATTGTTGGCGGGATTAACCGCAACAGATCTCCGCTTCTTTTTTCCCTTTTCTTTTTTTTCTTCCTCTTTTTTGTTCCCTTTTAGCTCTCCTCTTTTCCTTTTGCTTCCTTCTCTCCTTTTTTAGCGGGGACGGGGGGGGGGGGGGGGGGGGAGGGGGAGGCTAATTGCAACTGATATCCCCCTTCTTTTCTTTTCTTCTTCCTCTTTTGTCCTTCCCTTTATCTCCTTTTTTTCCTTTTTCTTTTTCTTACCTTCTTTCTCTTTTAATTTTTGATTGGGGAGGGGGGAGGCAACAGCCTGGGAGGCAAGTTCTTCCCCCCCCCCGATCTCCTTCTTCCCTCTTTTCTTCTTCCTCTTCTTTTTTTCCTTTCTCTCCTCTTTCCCTTTCCCTTCTTTTCCTTCTCTCTCTCTCCTTTTTTTTTTGCGGGGGGGGGGGCGGGGCAAGGCCCGCTCGGCCCCCCTGGATCCGCGCCTGGATAGGTCAAACAGTAGCTCTATAATACACATACACACGCCACACACACGCACACACACACACACACACGCCCGCGCACACACACACTCTCTCTCTTACACACACTCTTTTGATTTTTCTCTCTCTCTCTTTCTCTTTCTCTCTCTATCTCTCTCTCTAACTCACTTGGTCTATATCTGTTTTGGAATGGTTCCCTCAGTGTCTATATATTATGTTTCCATCTCTGTTATTTATTTAGATGGCGACGTTAAACTCGTTCCCGATGGAGACTCCTACAGTGGAACTGTTGCCGTCTTTTACCGAGGAGTTTGGGGCAAAGTTTGTCCTGATGACTGGTCATGGTCCCTGGCAAACACAGTTTGTATTCAGCTGGGATATTATGGCGCCATCGAAGCTACTCAAAACGTAAGCTGAGCATTTATTTATATTTTAAAGAAAGGCTGTTTTGTTTAATATCTATTTAGTACAGCATGTAATAGCATGCATGGTTCGGATATGTCTGTCAGTTGTCCTTTCTTGTCTGTTCTACCCATCATTTTTACATGTCACATATTTGGATTTCTTTCACCCTCTTGCTCTGTTTGCATAGATTTGTTGTAACCACTTTATGACTATTTTCATTTCGTAAATTCACTATCATTTGTATTCATACATGAAAGTGAAGAAAATTCAATTAAACAATGCTTAATTTCGTGCAATTTCAGTGCAGTAGCCGTGCAGTCTCCGCAGCCTCCGCATGGAAATCGTACGGAGCCCGTTTGCTGCACGATCAGCGCCAGGCCTCCGCGCGATGCCCGAGCGGGGATTGTGAAATGCCACCTACGACATGTCTACAGGCTACGGGCTTACGATTTTTCAAATTTGTATAACTTCCCGCGAAACAAAATTGTTGAGGTCGCGAAGCCCGTTAATCCCTACGAAAATCTCACGGCCGCCTCCTGCCTCTGCACAGAGGCCGCAAGGAAAAGGGGATACGGGCCCGTAGACTAATCGCAGGCCAAATGTAATCCAGGCAGACACACCTAGCTACAACCAGACTGCGGCTGGATTTGTTTTGTTGTTTCTGAAGACTGCGGTGCGTTGTGAGCCTTTTGGCCGCGAACCGTAGTGACATCCGACTGCTCACACACCTGCCTGCCGGTCCTGGGGCCCGTTTCATAATTTTTTAAAAATCTATAACAAATGCTAAATTCTTATGACAAATTAGCTCTCAGCCATGCAGCCACATGCCATGATATCAGTAGCTTATAATAATAGCTTGTACCTTTTTTTTAATTTTTTTTTATTGATATCAAGTTTTATGAAACAGGGCCCATTAGCTTTTTTAATTCGTATTTTATTGATGACATAGTAGTATACAAAATATTGCAGACCCACTATGTAGCAACATATATCTTGTCATTAATATTAATATGATATGATATGAAGCAAACTTAAACTCAAGCTTCCAGCTTTTTTGTTGAAGTATATTTCCATGATGGTCGCTATTCTACCTGTTACATCAGGGCCCCTTCTTATCATCAAATAGTTGCGATTTATTACAATTACTATCCGCGATTAATGTCAATCGTAACTCTATACCATTGTTTACAGCTTCCTGATACGGACGATGCACTGGACTATCATATACATTCACTACAATGCAGTGAGTTTGAAAGTCATCTAAAATACTGTGATCTAGACTATGCCTGGGAAGATGAAGTAGAGTGTGACTTGGACAGCCATCTAGCAGCGGGTGTAATCTGTACTCATCAATACCAAGACGTACCCTCATGTAATTACTTCTATTCTATTGTATTGAAAATACTGTTGCCCATGAAGTTTGAACGATGTTTTTTTATTTATATCGTTTTACTAAATAATTCATTGTTACCATATTGTTAATTCGTGATATAATTTTTTTTAATCTTCTCTGAACTTCAATATCTATAACTCTTCAGATTGGTAGAGAAAGTTCTAAGAAGCTATCAACTTTATCTAAATGTATGAAGATTTAATCCTATTGTGACAATCAATGATTCATGAAAAGAGGAAAAAATTATCGATCAAACGAAATGGGCAACAGTGTATAATAATTAGAGAAACGTAATGTGCAATACAAACTGTGTTATTAGCAGAGCATCACACATGAACACATAGTAAGATGTTAAAAGACCAGTGATGATGAAGCTAAAACAGAGCTAGAATGAAGAAAAAAAAGATATATAAAAGCAGTTAATCAGGTGGACTTGTCATTGGGAGTGGCGCCCATATCCTTTGGTGCATGACATTTTAATGTTGCAGTAGAAATTCCGGTGGAAGCACGATTAAAAAATTGGTTGAATTTAACGGGTATTGCAGGGATTTGCTCGGTGAAATATATCAAAACGTTTAAAATGGCCAAAATGTTGTAAATAGTCATAGTTGATAACTTATAGTGGTAAATCGTTAATTATTAGCAAAATTACAGTCATATTTCTTTTAAAATATGAATTTTGCAACTGGCAGTTTTTTTTTTCTCTACACATTCGTAATGTACAAAACGAGGGCTGCAATTTTCACTCGTAGAGACAAAGTCAGAGTTCTTTGATACAAAATCTTGCACATCATGATATTATTACAATTTATGGTTTATAAGTTTTTCGTTGATATATAATTCATGATTTTCATTTTTCAGTTTCGACAAGGTCTTTAAAAAAACCTAGTTCTAAATTTATAACACTAATGTTAATCGATTTTGAAATTAAATTGTTCATGTGTGTGGCATACAGATGGAAAGCCGAGGTTAGTTGATGGTCCAGACGCTGGTCATGTTGAAGTGTTCCTGACTGAGTCTTGGGGATTGGTCTGTGGTAATTCTTGGTCCTATGACAATGCTAGAGTAATTTGCATCCATCTTGGATATCGTGCGGTCCTCACCACCTCTTCAATACCGGTAACACAGGATTTCCCTCCAGTATTACTTTATGTAGCATAAGGAGGATCGAGTATATTATATAAAACAAAGCCTTGTTTCCATAATACAAGGTCAATGGATATAGCCTTTTTTGTTACACCCACTAGCATCTCAAATTCACTTCAATATGCTAATTATCTTGATCTTTATAAATATTTTTCAGGCAGTCATTGTTTTTGTATAAATACCGTGGAGCTCTCATTACGTGGGGGCACGTGTCCTCTGTGTCCCATCCCCTCACAAAAAATGGGATCCACCGAGAATGCAAAAAAAAATAGAACAGCTCCAAACGAACACAAAAGAGGGAAGAAAAAGTCATATTGTAATATCCTTACTTCATTTCTCTCTCTCGCTCTGTTCATCTCTCTCTCTCTCCACTCATTCTTTATCGTTTTTTTTTTCCTGAAAAGTTGAACGAGTCCCTATCACGTGATATAGTGATGAGTAGTGTTCATTGTGACGGCATGGAGTCCTATCTAATAGACTGCCCTGCATCCTATGTGGATAATACAAACTGCCAATCAATGGCTTATGTGGAGTGTACTACAGAGTCTGATGAGCTTGCAATGCAGGAGGATATTATTAGTAAGTTTATATCTCTGTGTTTTTCTCTTTTATTTTGACTTTCCATACTTACATATATTGTTGGGTTTATAATTCATATCTATTTTATAGTATCTTATTGTTGTATTGACTAATTATACCAGTAAAAAATATCTGCATCAACATCTAGGTTATTGGATTCATAAAGTAAATCGGCTTTAATTTGTAAAGCTCACATAGGTGAAAGCAAGTACCGGTAACATACTATTGCAATATATTTCCAAATAATCAAAATTTCTAACTTCTAACTAGTTTACTAACTTCAAGGCCAGTACCTATGGTGTTTTGTAAATTGACCCCCCCCCCCTTTTTTTTGGAAGTAATTCTAGTCTTTGTCTAGTTGTGCATAATTGCATTGTTAAAATGTTAGGAATACTTCTCTGTTTGAATTGTTTGATAAGCTTCAGATGGATACATTTTTGTGTGACACTCAGCAATTGCAAAATGGTCAATCAAGATCGTTGTTGCTTCACATATTGTTAGCAAGGCGGAATATTAACCAACCAAAATCGATATTTCAAATTCTCAATTGAGTGCAACCATTTGTATTACAATGCCCATGCAGGTGGGTAACCCAGTTGAAACTAGTAGTAGTTGATGTCAATTTAAAAGAAAAATACGAACAAAATGCAGATGAATCGTGATTTATCGCGTCTTCTATCTATCTTCATTTCATATTTTATTTGAAGTCTTTCGCCATCGTTTTTGGTTGTTGTTTTAAATGCATATTTCATACCAACTTTATAGTTCGACTCTCTGATGGTGGATCTCCTCGAGAGGGTCGAGTTGAGGTATTCATCTTTGGACGATGGGGTTCATTATGTGATGATTTCTGGAATGATGAAGATGCAGCCGTTGTCTGTAGACATCTTGGACATACAGTAAGTATAGATGCAAGATTTGAACAGTGTAATATTGTAATCATTCAAGTCTGTCGTCCATCTATTGCTGTTATGCCTCATGTTCCTCCACCCCACCTCTCCCCCTTATAAAAATGTACCATGTAATTACCTTTGGACAAAGAATCATGATAACCCTGGTATTGAAAAACATGGTAACACCGAACTATGATAACCACCATGGTTACCATGGTTCTTTGTCCAAAATAATCTTCCTTTCTCTTGCTCTCTTTTATTTCTGCTTCCCCCCTTCTCTCTCTCTCTCACACTCGCTCTATCTCTCTCATGCATCTCTAGACTTGACAATCTCTTCCTCCTTTTCTCAAAGTCTTTTTCTCAAATCCATTTGTCAACAAGTTTGTATAATTAATTCGACCCAACTTAGCCCTATCTCTCTCTCTCTCTTTGTCTTTTTTTCTCCCTTCTCCCCCCTCTCTCTCTCTCTCTCTCTTTTGTCGTCGTCTCTCTCTCTTCCCCTCTCCCTATCTCTCTGTCCTGCCCTTTACACGCCCGGAAGTATCCTATTAACACATCTAGTTCAACTTAAAATAGTTCTTTGTCTACTCTTGTCAATTTCCTTGGTCAGGATGGGATACATAGAGCTGTTTGGGGAGGATCGTACGGTTCTTCGTCTGCTGGGATGGTACCCGGTCATCCTATTTGTGGAGGGTGGGAGTCGACACTAGATGAGTGTTATATTCAAACCTCCTTCCAGCAATGCTACAACTCTGATGTTGGTGTCAACTGTGATTCAGGTTAGTATCCTCATCTTGGTCTGCACCTCTCTTTGCCTAATTGCATTTCTTTCGTTACCAAAATAAGATAATGAAAGGGGGATAGCAACTTTTAAAAGAAGAAATATGTGTTTAATAATTCAAATAATTTGACCCACCATGCTTCTTCAAGTTCATGTATTTGTAGGTTTCTCAAGTATAGGGAAACAAAAGTGCTCATTTATATCTTCAGTATTTGGCGTGTTAATTGTTTAGACGTGCTATAAATTCTAAATGCATTTATTTCTCATCAATACAACTATCAATACCAAATGTCAGATCACTTCCAAATCACCACATGGTTGGTTTTCTAGTAAATTGATGGGGAGACACAGTCGGAAATAAAGTTGGGACAATCTGTTAAGTCAATGAAAATCTATGCAAATATCGCATTGTTTCAATTTCCCCTTCTTTCTCTGCAGGGAGGGTGTTCACAATCATCATCCTCGTGGTGGGGGTTGTTGCAGTATTACTAGCTATTCTCATCATATCATGTCTTTGCTACTGTTGTATCTGCAAAAAGACGGTAGTACCTCCTGTAACATCTGGAGCGGCGGTGGTACCCGGTGTTGCTATGTCAGAGAATGCTCCACTTCCCCTCCCTCCGGTGATGGCAGACATGGTTCCTATACCAAACCTAGAGTATGGTACATTACCATCCATGGACGATCTTACATTACCCCCGGGTAAAGCCCCTAAACCACCCCAGGTCGTATACGTGCCCTCACCCAACTATTAATGACTAAAAACAATTAATTCGGCAACTTTTCCCACGGTTATTGAAGACATGGATAGTCATGGAAAAAAATAATCCTTCTAATAGTATGGTTCTGTAAAGTCATAGAAAAAGATTAAAAAAAGAAGAAAAACCTCCCAAAGTACATGGGAATTGGTTTTTGAGCCGTGTTTGGCTATGGCAGGCTTCCATTTTAAACTGACAATGTGTGTGGTATTCGTACCGCCGCTTGAAATGCTGAAACCCGTACCAAAATGGTACTTATCTGGTCACAGAACAAGAAAGTCTTGGAATTATGTTCTCAAATTCCTATGGGAATTAACCCTCTAATAGTATGGTTTGAAATATTTGTTCAACTTTACAGGTGCAGCTGCATAGCTAGCGTAGGCCAATTGAGGCACTATTCTCCAGTGGACTTTACAATAACTGAATATAGATGTATTCTAACCGATATCATGATGTCATCTTCTCCATCTTTTACTCCCCTTTTCATGTGCCATTGATCGCGGGGGGGGGGGGGGAGGGGGGAGGGGGGGGGGGGTGGACGAGGATTCTCCTCTAGAGCTACGCTATTGTAGCTTCATTGAACCATGTAACAATTAAAATGTAAACGTTTTAATCAGGGATGACTATAGATAATAAAGTAAATATAATGCCTTGTATATTAATCTGACATTTAATATTTAATTCATAACAAAAAAAAAATTGCCTTCTGTTTGAGATTTCTCTTGATAACGAAATAAGCGAATTTTTATTAACATTAATTTCTGACTGAGTGTAGGTAATAGGCCTGAATTTTTATTTCCTCGATTTTTTGTGATTCTATTCGACAGTTTTAATTAAAAGTTTATCGTGTTAAAGGAGATTTGTTTTCTTTGATTTCTATGCTCATTCATCAAATCTATTATTGAGAGCCCTCTTGAGCAACCTCTCCTCTCAAAAATGATAAACATAATTGATTAGAGGAGGCGCGATAGGTCAGTCGGTAGAGCATTGGTCTCGTAATCCGGTCTCGAAACCAAGTCGATGCGCTAGTGCCCTTTGGTATTAAAGGCATTAATCCTCATTATCAGGTCCCTCGGCCGTCTGGTTGCTTACTACTAAGCATTTATATGCTGTCTTAGCAGTCGGGTAAAATAACCACCACCACCACCACACATTATGTCTGTGAATGCTTGACAGTCAAGTTTCATTTCATGGGGGAGGGGTTTGCAATTTTAAAGCACGCTTTTCCTGCCAACATATTTTGCTTGTATCTTAGAATATACCTGTGTAAATTTTTATGTGCATTTGATTTCAAAGTTTGCTAATTTTTTTCATCGACATAAATACTTTTATGATTAAACATGACGTAAGGAGTGCATCGTTGTCCATTTCATTTAGGTAGTGATGGGTGTCATGATCTCGATAGTTGGTTTAGATTGAAATTCAAGTGTTATGATAGATGTGATGTGTAAATGTGTTGTGGTCTTATGTCAACGGACTGTGGATCACATGGTTCGCGGTTTAATTGCTACCCTACACCCAGGGGAGTATTTCACAAAGACTACGATCGACTTTAAGTTGGACTTAACTATGGCAGGCTATTCATGCCATTGTTTCCTCTCACCATTTACTGGCGTCGGTTTCTCACGGGACGTACACATCATGGTCACAAATCTACAGAATTTACTTTTTTTAATAATTCATTATTGAAGGGGAAAATAATATCTAAACATCATAAATGAAAGACCAATAGTGAAAGCAACCAGTGGCATGAATGGCCTGCCATAGTTACGTCCAACTCAAAGTCGATCTTAGCCTTTGTGAAAAACCCCAGGCCCCCCAGGTATTTAAAAAATAGTCACCTAGTAAGATACGATTTTTAATGTGTTTGAATTGGCATTTTATTGGCCTGTTCATCAATAATATATTCCTTTTGTCATGTATATTTATCATTAGCTTTTGTGAAATGAAAGTTCAAATTTAGCATACAAGTAAATATACAAATACAGTCTCTCTGTCTGTCTCTCGTCTGTATACCTCTTTCTTTCTTTCTTTCTTTCTTTCTTCTTTCTTTCTTTCTTTCTTTTGATTTCACTAAATGCACAACGAAATCAATCCTAAGTACGATGCCTACATGCATTGCGTTGGTTGAGCTTTATTGTGTATCTTACATTTGATATTCAAACAGTATGGTTTGTAGTAGTCTCATCACTATACATATATAGATCATCTTTATACAGTCATACTGTACTTCATTCTACTTCGGATTCAAATTAATTACAATAAAGATGTGACACAAAATCCGGAGTCCTCTGTGTGGTTATGAACATTACCGCTTAACCACACATTAGGAAAGGTGTAACAGAAGAAGTAACATTTTACAATCGTAACATAAGCTCACCAAAGATAAAAGAAACATGCATATTATAAAAACTAGCTACTGCATTTTTCCTACTTAAAACCAATAATATTATACCATTATACGATATTATTACCAATTTTCCTTATCAAATCATTGCAAAATCAATATCTTCATTCAAAAAAAGTTTCCTACGACATACATAGTATAATAGCATGATAGCAATATTACAGGGAACAAAATAAATATATATATATATATATTGAGTGTAAAATGACTAATTTTACACTCAATATAAGAAAGATATATGTATATATTATATTAATATCCAGGAACCAAACGTTTGTCTCTTTATTTTATATGAAGAGAGCACAGTGAATATAAAATACTTAGGTGAGTGCTATACAAGTGCAATTAGGCTATGTGTATTTTTTGTAGGTACCAATATGTATTAACAACACAAAAATACCATAGACAATGAAAAGTACATAATACTTAAGTATTTACGTGACATCCTCTTTTTAAAATTCCCTTTTTAAAGGTTGTTGTTGAAATGCAGGGCAGGGTGAAGGTATGTATTGATTTAGTCGTTTCCTCATTATTTATGTACAATACGCTGACATTGTTAAAAGGAAATGCATGTTTTTCATGTCCCCCTTCATCTGCAATGACAGTGTAATTGATAATTCTTATTTTTGTAATTGTATCATTATCATTTTCTTCTTTAAAGTTATGCAAGTCAAACTGAAAATATCTCGTTTAAAGTTATTCAAACCCAATTTCGACCATACTTTTATTTACTACACACATCTTAAAGCCAGCTTTTGAGTATTTGCAGTTAAGCTGCATGCAGAGAAACATATTTTTAAAACTACAATAAGAATATGACTTCTGATCGGCATACGTTTAAGAGCCCCATATAAAAAATTATTATCTTCATGAAATACTTTTGATAAGTGTATACTATTGGGGACAAAATATGACATACAGTCGAAATGTAATTGTGAGGATAGCACACAAACACATAACCGTAAATATTGATATACATGACTGTATTATCCGCCATGCTAGTAATAATACTTATACATGAATCATAACTAGACAAACATGATTGCATCTCCATAAAAATATTGTTATTATGTAATATTTACATGATGTGGTAAGCCGGTGATATGTTAACGAAATAGCAAAATCTTGGTGACTCTCCTACCCCTCCCCGTGTTCCCCTAATTTAACCAGCACTGGTACGTCAACATAAGACGTACAGGTAGACGTTTTTTATATTTGGTTTGTAAAGGATCGATATTAATCGCATTTTTTTACATAAGAGATAGGAGACTGCAAACTTACGATTCATTGGAGGACTTGGAATGACTTGGATCAATCGCAACCCTGTATAAGACGGGGCCCTGGACATACAGTATATGCACGTGATCATAACATTTCATATGTCTTGTTTGTTGTTGTTGTTATTATTCAGAAATTAAATCTAAAGAACACTTCTCATGTGTATACCATGGCATTTGATTTGATGATTTCCATCTCAATCTGCAGCCATCTTGGTATATTCACCATACAACTCAGCAATTAAAACAATTTATGCGTGGCCTTAACATTTAAGCAGAGAAGATGTGCTTAACAATCCTCCTTCATACCTCTAAAAAAAAATCTCATCTTTGATTCATATCAAAGACTTTTCCTTCAATCTGGATGAATTCTCCCTACGGGAAGAAATTATAGTCGATTCATGAAGAGTTTTTCTAACTTACTCTAAATACATGATAGCCATACAAACTCCTATGATATAAGTGAATATAAGCAAATACATTTAGATTTTGAAAGAATATGCTACAAAAACTGTGTCTTAATGTTACAATTTATTATCTTACACTTCCTTTTTAATATCTTGATATGTTCCATAAGCTATCATAGCTGCGTGCAACCCATACAGTGATATGATAGGTTCTACAGATCCACCAATCACCTTCCCAATAGAACCATAGTATAGTTCCAGCTCGATCCATGAGCTCACATTAAATAAACCTATCAGCCAGTTACATGCATTTGCAACAAAGGTATACATGAGGCAAATTGAAACCCATTTGACTTCTGCATCACTTGTCAATTTCCTGCGTTGGATTATGAGTAGGAAAGACGTCATTGTCCAAACAATGTAAAATTGGAAAACAGCGTATACCATAGAGAAAGCAGCAAGAGCTATCTCATCTTGAGCCTTAGTAGCAAAGCGCATTAAGATACCCATAGCCGCCACCAAACGAAAAATATTGAGCATAAATATTCCACCACCGCTCAACAATAGAACAATGTCATGACTCTGTATGAGACCACTTGACACTGTGATTGGATATTTAAGGAGAATTGTTTTAGAACGACCCGAGAGGAAGATTTGAAAGTGATAGAGACCTATGAACGGGATGTAAAAAGCCATCATAAGGACCCATCCTATGTATGTCCTTGTGCTTTCAGAGTTTAGCCAGTCACCATACGATACATACATATGGAATGTAAAATATATCACATTCAAAATAATGGCCAGAACAAGAATCGGACGTAGATAAGGGAAACGTTGGTGACTTGTGGTAGTATGTTGTAACAAGTACTGCTCATTGTCCCAACCTGTTCTCCAAAATTTAAGTTTGATTTTCAAGTAAATATTTGTCAAAGCATTTAAGATTCTTTTGCTGAATGGTCTTCTGTTGATTGTGTCAAAGTAATCGAACTCAGGAGGACTACTCGCGGTATCCAAGAAACATCGAGGAACCATAGACAACCATATATTCCACAATATACCAACAGCAATTATGGTTATCTCAGTATATACTGTTACCATCATGTCATCTAGATCAATGAGAAATTGTTTCAAAGAATTGTTCACATCACATGAATCGTTTAAAGGATCGTAAACTGTTGCTATGTCAGCGCTGATGGGATATCCTGTTTTTAGGGCTGCGATAGCAATCGAGAGAGCGAGGTATATGCTAATACTTATTGAAAACTTTGCCTTGACAATTATGACAGCATCGTAGTAGATATTGAAGAAGAACAAAGACATTATAAAAGCGGTTATAATTGATAAATCAAATACAGCTTGAGCTACCTGGGTAACCGTTGTTGATACTGATGACCA